TAAAACTTGAAAATATATTGTTTTTTTCTCCTCATTAGGGTGAAACTAATGAGTCCAACCAAGATGCCATGTCCACCTCCAGCGACCTGCTCGACATGCTGTTACATGAAGACTCCCGCTCCGGCACCGGCTCGGCTGCCTCTGGTTCAGGGTCCTCAGGTACCAGGTCCTCTGGTTCGGGGTCCGGGTCCAACGGCTGCAGCTCCTCCGGAACCAGCGGCACCAGTAAGTAGACTCATCTTTACAGACTAACTACATTTTAATCACAAAGGAATGTAGTTAGAAATTATTTTGTGCTCGGGGTTTCAATTTTCTAAGGGGCTTGGTCACAGCAACAGTTAGGATGAACATTACTTAACTTACTTTGAACTAATAGATTTTAAAGGTTTACCTGTGAAATAAAACAAATGAGACCTGTTTTCTTACACACATTTCCTTCTTGGTGCTTCCAGGCAGCAGTCAGGGCAGCCACACCAGCAAGTACTTTGGCAGCATCGACTCATCGGAGAACGATCACTCCCGTAAACAGACAGCAGGGGGCAGCAGCAGCGGTGGAGGAGATGGTGGCGAGGAGCAGTTTATCAAGTGTGTCCTGCAGGACCCCATCTGGCTTCTGTTGGCAAACACCGATGACAAAGTGATGATGACGTACCAGCTGCCTGTCAGGTAAAACACTGGGCATAATGTGACCATAGAAAACAGAACTACTGTTACTTTACAGACCTTCTTAAACACTTGGGACTTTTAAAATGTCAATTCAAATGCTTTTGATATCATTTTACTATTCTTACTGCCTATTTTAGGGGGCAAATTTATAGAAGCCCTTGAATTTAAGTCATATATTAATTCCTACAATATTGTTTGGATGAAAGTGTAGAAGATTAGTCTAAAACTTTTAAAATTGTTCAACAGAATTTGTACCTTTTAATTATTTTCAAATCATCGAAAATGATATAAAGCCCTCCTAACACCTTACATTTAACAGCTAGCAGACCATCAGAAATTAACAAATGTCCTGTATTTTTCCTCACAGGGATATGGAGACAGTGCTGCGAGAGGACCGCGAGGCCCTGAGGAGCATGCAGAAGCATCAGCCTCGTTTCAACGAGGAGCAGAAGAGGGAGCTGAGCCAGGTGCACCCCTGGATCCGCACAGGACGCCTGCCACGAGCCATCAACATCTCTGTGAGTATTTCTATTTGGATACATTAATAAAGCATAAATGAAAAAACACAAAGAACTTAAAAGTTAATAACTGTATCATTTTTTGTCTCTCTCAGGGCTGTGCAGGCTGCAAGTCTCCGCCCACCGTGCCTGCCGTCGCTCCGTTTGACGTAGAGATCCACGAGATGGAGCTGTGCAGCGTGCTCAAAGGTCAGGAAGATGGCAGCAAAGGGAAGAAAAGTCTCTGCGAGACCGCCATGGATGAAGCTCATCCTGATGACGTGGATGAAGAAGAGGAGGAGGAGGAAGAAGAAGTGGAGCAGAAGAACACAAAAACACTTGATAGCAACCAGGAAATGCCAGCGGAGGAGCTGAGAGCGTGCTCAGAGGAAAAAGCGAAGGCTCAACAGGCTGAATCTCACATGACACACTGAGTTGGTTGCCAAAGATAAAAGAGTACTATCATGAACATTCGCTGCTGGTATGCAGGTAAAATGCACCTTCCAGGACCTTCCGGCACCTGAACAGCACTGCACAGGGTGCCGGGTGTTAAATATGCACCTTCCAAGACCTTTCCATGTCTGGGACATCGTTACACTTGTAAGATGTTAAAAGTTTACGGTGCATATTCTGAAAGGAAACTTCCATGAACTGAACGACAGGTCAGGTCGGACACTTGGCCGTGTTCATTCTCCGTGAAGTTAAATGACAGCACACCAGGCCCGTTGTATGAGCGCATATTAAACGCCTTGGAAGCCACATGACACGCACAAGTGTTTTTGTCCCTTTTGTTTCTCTTCAGCTGCCCTTGTAGCTCCTGAAATATTTATTCTGAAATAAGTTGTAAAATAATCAGAGAGGACGAAGGGGAATGTGTTGCATAAAAGGCGCCTTTACTTAAAGATGGATGTTCTTCACCACAGTGTCCTCCTCGATGACCTCATCTCTCCTGCTCACGAGGAAAGAAGGGAGTTCATCTGTGACTTTTCTTCTTGTTGACTGATTGCCAGCAAGATCCGTTTTTCTCACTCAGACTCAGTTCTTTTTTTTCTTTTTTTTATGTAAAAAGTTTGTCTGAACTACAGAAGAAGCAACTTGTACAGTAAGAACCAGGTTTATTTTGTAAACAATGTGTATATTTTTATACTTTATCCACTGCAAAGACGAGTATGTGTATACTGTAAAATAAGAAAAAACCAGGACAGAAATCTTTGCAGTTTTGAAATTGCAGCAGAAAAAAACAATCACTTTCACAGTCTCCGAACAGAGATGACGTTTATTTTCTCACGACACGGCAATCTTGTTGCTTTTCTTGAGCAATGAGCAGTTAAAATCGTGGGGAAACGTGGCAATCACCTGGAGACCAACCTGGACTTTTTAAGGTTGCTCCTCGGCCGGGCATTAGTAGGTGCATTTGTGTGGGAAAAGAACAACGTCTGTCTGAGGAATCACAGACAGTATTTCCATCCTAAGAGGCTGAGATGGCTTTTGTGTTGCCGGTGCTTTGCCCATGGTGATGGGTGTATTTGAAAGAGGAGGACTCGACTCTCTAAACTCTATGGAGAGCTTGGAGAGTGTAAACTATCTTTCTTTCCTCTCTGTCCTGTTACTCTCTTTCTCTGTGGCACTGTTCTGGTCATGTGATATCCTATGTTTTGTCAGTGGTGTTTGCAACAGTTTCTTAATATTTTTGTGAAAATTCTTTGTACAAAAAAAGACAATAAAATGACTTGAAATGTAAAATCTTGCTCCAATTTATTGTCTCCTGCTGTTAGTTTTATGATTACATCTTTTCGCAGCGTATTTTCGTTGGCGGGTGTTTTGCAACAGTTGGCGTGGATACACAGAACTGTCTGAAATGAGCTGAACTAAGAGTGGATCAGGGCAGCTGCTTTCCTCACAGAACCACAGTCTGCTTCTATCCAGCTGTGGCTTTAACCCCAAGTGGTCACCGCAGCCTAAAAAAGACAAAGACATGCCCTCTTTTAGGTAAACACAAAGCTGGAAAGCTGACTTTAGTGAACTTCATGATGGCTGCAATCATTTTCATGTCATGTTTGTCATATTGTGAGGCAGCTTATGCTAATTAACTATTTGTACTAGTTTTGAGTCACATTGATGTATTTAAACCTTTATTTAAAATAATGATGGTCCTCTTCTCCTGCCAAACGTATTTCATATTGCAGTAGAACCAGTTTTCTTTCCTCCATGTTTACTTTTATTGGACCAATCTTAGTTTCTATTTTGAACTTGTATTTTTCATTCTTTCCTACATTTAAACTGAACTCCTTCACCCACTACTAATTGAACTGAACTTTAATGTAGTGTAAAGGAATTTAATCCTCATAATAACCTTTATTTTCACAGTAAATTGTGTTAGCAGTTCTGTGAGCTGGATGTGTGCAGTTGGTGCTAGCAGATTTCAGCATGATGACCCAGCAGATTAGTTAGCATGGACACTAAGCAGAGCTAGGCTTGAAAATTGTATTTTATTATTGGATAAATAAGTATTTGACAATTTAAAAAAATGTACTACTTTTAATCACCCCCAATTTAGGAGCAGATACAAAAAATGGGAACAGCTTATATAGACCTATTGAATAATGCTACTAGCATGTTTAGCCACAAACAATACAACACCTCTTAACATACAAGAGTTTAAGTAAGAAAAAAGACACATGTACAGTAGGAGATGCATTGGCTAAATATTGCAAGGCTTATAAATTAAGAATGTATATTACACTATGATGTCGTAAAGACAAGCCATGAGCTCCCACACCCCTATCAGTGAATGCTCACCTGCTACACTTATTCATGAATTACATTAACAATTCTGTATTTTATTTTGTTCTCATTTGTTAGGTTAGGGATTTGTAGTAAGTCTAATTTCATCAAATCTTGAACCTGTGGTGACACATGAGTAAAAAATAATAATTGGATGTGATAAAAAATTGATAGCAGGCGGGGCATCGATTTATCATAAATGTAACACTTCTTGATGGCAGCAGAGGAAAACTCCATTTTCACGTGGAAAGAAAGTAATGCACATTTTCAGCACATTTCACCAAAACTTTAGTTTTGTCTCGAGCAGCAATTATGTTAGCGCTAAGCTCGCTAGCAACGGACAGACAAACCATGCTAGGCTGTGTTCCTTAGTTTAGATGTTGTTGCATGTCCTCTAGGCTTAACTAAAATCAGATATTTACCGGTATGTTTGTTTTAGTTCCAGTTATTTCTTTAGCCAGGGCAAATTTGTGTTTCTTTGTGATTTTCAACAACTTTATTAACAATTCGCTGCCTGTAGAAGGTGATTTGCATTCTGTCTGAATATAAAGTAGGATTTTTCCTCTGGGCACCATGAAAGCCGTCCATGATGGTTGTTGAGATATTTCTGTGTGGACCAAAGCCCAACTTCTCCAAATAGAGCTTCCTAGTTGCCAGTGAGGCGAACGAAAACCTGGCTCCTGTTAGCAACAGTGGCACTCTGTCTGCAGAAACATACATTTTCCATATATTCCATTACGCTACATGTTAAACAACAACAGCACATAGCCAGAACATAACACAAACTGTACTCTGGACTGTATATCCTTATTGCTTTTGGCTGTGGCTGAGTTTACAGTGTAATTAATGTTAAATCCCTGTGTGTCAAACAGCGTTTTTATCCTCTCAGTCACATTAATTCTCCTTTCTTCTTCATAACACACCTCCTCCTCGACCATCCCTTCCTCTCCCTTCTCCTCCCCTCTTGAACCTTGCATCGCTCTCCACCCCTCTGGGTGCAGTTCTCCCTCCTTCCTCTTCTTCTCCTCTCCTGTCTTTCCCTAATCTGTGCAACAGGATGGAGGACAGGGTGTGGATTGTGTGTCTTTTTGTCATTCTGACACTGGGATGGACCGAAGCGCAGACTGAGACCAACCTCACCAGGTAAGCAAACGTGTGTATGTGTGAGAGAGTGAAATACTTCCAATATGGCTATCAATGTCCTTTTTGTGCATCTTTTTCCCTAAAAAAAAAAAAAAAATCCTGCACATGTGGCATGCCGTCCGTTTTCAAGCCCACATCTTAAACTGCTGTGTGTTATTTCATCTCCTGGCTGCAGTATCATGATTACAGAAAAGTGAAGTAGAATTAGAAGGCTGCAGTTTTTCAGGAAGATGTGGTTAGCGTCCCATAAACACACGAAATGACAGTATGCTGTAATTGATGCAGTGATTAAACTGGGCACATGTAGGCCTACAGTCGCTTGTCCTCACGTGATGTTTTTGTCAAAACTGGCAACAAATGTTCCCATTTACCTCTTAACTTAATGTGTTTGTGTCCTAGGATGAAACCCTATCTGGTTAAAATGGAAAGAAGTGTCTCCTCCATTATAAACACCTGATCAGGGTTAATTTAGGTGTCTCTAATGGTGATAACATTTATTGTTCACGAGTCTTGTAGCAGATTCTTTAAAGTGTGGCAGCCTATCACATACCAGGTGTAATTGTATGGCCTGTAAATGTGGTATAAATGCAACGCATGCAATCTTTCAGAAACAAATCTGCCTAGTTTTTGTTTACCTCTTTTCCTTTAGGATTTTTTAAAATGTTGATTGTAATAAACTGCTGTTGTGTTTGGAAAACCGATCCCGTTTTTCCTCACGTTGTTTGATACCCCTTCCCACTCTAGTTTTCCTTAAATATTGATCATTACTTGTCGTTGTTGTGTACTGAAAACCACAGAAGATGTAAAAAAAAGGTAGAAAAAAATCAAAATGTTTCACTTGTGTTTACCTAGTGTCTTTAGTTATTGTTACATGTTGATTATTATTTCACTCTTGAGTCTTGTGGTATGAAACAAAAATAAAATAGAAAAATAAATACATTCTGGATGTTTTTTGAACCTGGAGCGCACACTGCTGGAGCTACTTGCACACACACACACACACATACAGGGTGTAAATTGAACATGAGAGACAAACACATGCCTGTGGGCTGTTTAGCCCTGGAGGGTCAGAAGGGAGGGACTGCACCGCCACTGGACTTTTTTTTTTGTTGTTGTTTGCCAAATGTGGCCTTATAGCACCACAGCAGACACAAAACACATGCCTGAAGTACATAACAAAAACTGTAAGCAGCTAAATGCCAGGAAAAAGACAATTTATTTTGGTCTCTTTCTTGCTAAAGCACAAAACTACAAAAACAGAGCTCTTTTCTGCCACATGCCAGAGCAGCAGACGTCTTCGTTAACAAGCAGTGAAATCAAAAGTAGAGGCTGGCCCCTGCTTTGATCTGTGTTTATCTGTGTGTGGTGTGTACATCACTTAACCCCCGTGTGTGTGTGTGTGTGTGTGTGTGTGTGTGTGTGTGTGTGTGTGTGCAGCATTTTAAAGTGCTCCTCTGTTAAAGTAGAGTTCATGTTACATCTATGTGCAGCTTTCTTGTGGTACAGTTACAGTGTAGCGACACCTTACAGCAGGTATACTGTATGTCGGCAGTGTGCACGCTTTAAAGTTTGATGAAAAAACATGAACCAGGAGAGCTCACAGGGAACCTCCCCACACTCAGAGAACAGAGACAGACTGTGCCGCTGTGGTTTGCAGCATGTATGCAGGGCCTCTGCTGTCGTACGTATAGCTGCAAAATACGAGCTGCGTTTTCCTCCGATGAAGCATGCAAAGTTAAATATTGAAACTGTTGGTTGTGACATTTTCCTTTTTTTTAAATTTATTTTAGGCCTGTCTTCCTGTGTGGAGGCCACCTGGTTGTAGACTCAGGCATCGTGGCCAGTGAAGGATTCCCCAGTCCTTACAAACCCAACAGTAAATGCACCTGGTACATCACCGTGAGTCCTTTTAATCACATTATTAAATCTGTGGCTGCTAGGATCATTATATCATCAGGCTTAGGCAAGTTTTGTTGGAAGTGTGTGAAAATGTTATTTGTAATAATTTAAAGGTTCATTTTGGGAGTTTTTGGGTCCAAAATAAATGTAAAATATGATTGAAAAACATTAAAACCCCTGCACTTGTAAAGTCAACCTTCACATGTGATATTTAGCTTGATTAGACCGTATTTCCCTCCCTCAGTCTGTGTGGGGCTGTGCAGACAGCTCCTATTAGGGTGGGCTAATTACACCTTTTTCATCCTTATAAGCGTCTGAGGTTCATTGAACTCATGTAATGATCCTTAAAAGATTATATCTTTGACCAGCTCCAACCAATCAGCTAGGATAAGTGAAAACACCTGTGTAGGTTTACAAGGGGAATACTCTGTCCAGAACTACTACTTGTACGCATAAATTCAAAAAAGCTATCTAGTTCACAATGGTTTCCCTCCCTCCCTCCATCCATCCATCCATCCATTCATCCCTCCATCCATCCATCCATCCATCCATTATCCTGAAGCCGATCCCAGCTGTCACTGGACGAGAGGCGGGGTTACACCCTGGACTGTTTGCCGGTCAATCACAGAGCTGACTTATAGAGACAGACAACCAGCCACACTCACATTCACACCTACGGTCAAATTAAGAGTCACCAATCAACCTAACGAGCATGTCTTTGGACTGTGGGAGGAAGCCGGAGTACCCGGAGAGAACCCACACATGCACAGGGTGAACATGCAAACTCCACACAGAGAGGCTCCGTCTGACAGGGATTCGAACCAGGTTGCTGTGAGGCAACAGTACTAGACTTAAGACTTCATCGTCCCCATGGGGAAATTATTTTTCACAGCTACGTTTCTGTCAAGACAGACAGTTCCCACCAAAGAACATACAGTACATACAAAAAATACAGAGTATTACACATACAGAGTTCCCACTCTGGCCTGTTCAGTGAGGACTTTTGTTCTGGGCCGCTATAACAGCAGGGATCAGGCTTTTCCCAAGGCGAGCCTTACTGCATCTCATTGCTCTGTACCTCCGTCCTGAGGGATGTGAGGTGAGTGTTCAGTGGATGTGTGATGTCCTGTTCTTTTCAGTTTGCAATGCTTGTGATGTTCCTGTTATTGAGTTCTGTTAGGTTTGCACTGCATCCATGCTTTCACCAAAGCTGTACAGCTGAAAGTTGATTTAGTTTTGTAATGTACGATCGTACAAACTAGCGCAGAATCCTTAAAAATACCATCCATACACACAGTCAGTCTAAAGTTACACTGCAACATCATAATGTATTGTTTGCTCCTACATATAAACCTGTACTACTATGCTTTTTGACTGTGCTTTATCTCCGAACTTTATAGACTCTTGTTTACACCAACTGCGATAGAATAACATTTTAAACTGGCTGACCAGTTTAACCCCTCCTCCTGCAACTCGAAACATCCACTTACTCTCTACTTCTACGCGAGCTAATTACGCACACCTGTTTCACTTCAACTAATTAAGCCAACGATCAGCACCAAAATAACAACAATTTCAAAGCAAATATGTTCAGAAAAATGTACAAAAGGAGTGTTTATGGTGACCTTGTGAATTAAAACCTTTTAAATGATTTTATTGGCTTTTGGTTTCTTGTTAAACCTTTTATTGACTTTAAATTTCAGGAGGAGCCTGTGAGCATTTTCTGGTTCTACAAAGAAAATTGTTTCCAAGCATCCTTTTTCCTTAAGTTAAACTCTTATCAACATCTTTTTCCAACAATTTTTTTTTTCTCCTTCCAGGTCCCAGAGGGTCATGTGGTCATGCTGTCATTCCGCCTCTTCGACGTGGAGGCTGACCCCACCTGTCGCTATGACTACCTGGACGTCTACAACGGTCACTCCCGCCTAGTCCAGAAACTGGGTCGTTTCTGTGGGACGTTCAGACCGGGCGCTCTTATCTCCACCTCTAACACCATGATGTTAGAGATGGTGTCAGACGACGCAACTGGGGGGAGAGGCTTTCTAGCTGCTTTCAGCGCTGGGAAGCCACACATGGAAGGTATGGACACATTATTCAACAAGCATGGACGTCTGAAGTAGTGGTCCTCTGTCATATTTTTTTATTTTTGTAAAAAAAATAAAAATTCTAAGGCTCAAACAATCCTCTCTGAAATAAAAACATTATGCAAAAAAATGACCAAAGACTTATTTCTGTGACTTTTTCCCCGCACAGAGAACCAGTTCTGTGGAGGAAGGCTGACCAAATCGCAGGGCTCCGTCAAGACACCAAACTGGCCCAACTCTAATTACCCAGCGGGCATCAGCTGCTCATGGCACATCTCTGTTGAACCAAGCAATGTGAGCAAACTGTACAGTATAAATGCTGTTTTTTATTGGTTGTGCACATTCAACACGTCTTTAAAAACTCAGAGAGCGAAATGTCAGTATTTTAACATGAATGTTGAAGGGATTATGGTACGTTTAAACAACAAATAATAATGTAGTTGACTGAAATGTTTAGTTATTTTTGTAGTCTTTAATACATCTTTGTTAGATTAGACATGTAGCCTACTTCGGTTAAAAATGTTTTCACTACAAACAGGAAATTTGTATGTTATTGATCTTCACACAGTGACACATTAGTGCGTTTGTGTTCTCAAGGTGGTTTAAATAGTTAGAAAATTACCCAAAGTAAAGAAGTAAACTAACTTTAAATCAAATGTAGGTAAACCATAAGCAACATACACTTATGATTACTCTTTTCTGTTAGTTTGAGCAGTCAGATAATTTTCTGTCCCAACATCTGAGGAAAGAGACAGCTAAGCTAGCTAGCTCCCACCTTGTTGTGTGCTAATATTGTTTATATGTTGAAGCATGAGATGAAATAGCAGGAGTGTAAAGTAAAGTCTAGCTAGAACAGGAGATACCCTTTGCTTTTTATGCTCAGTAGCTAGTTTACTTAGCCTCAAATTTTCGAGTATAGAAATAACTTTTCAATATGTTATTTCCTCTCAAATGCTAAACCTAAACTTGCTTGGCTAGCTAGACATTTAGCCTTGTTTTATCTACTTGAGCGGAATACAGACATAAAAGCAAAATTTTTGTTCAATAATCATTATTATCTTGGGCTAGCTAGGCCAAGAAGAATATTTAAATTGTTTGATATGGACTTTTCACTCTCAGATAAGTTGACCTTACTTTTCTCTGCAACATTGTATTTTCTAAAGTATATTAAGTTATTGTATCTCAATTAAAAAGGTTAAAATTTTAAAAATATTTCTACATAAAAAGTTTCACGTATACTAAGTTCAGAAGGGTGTTTTCATAGTGCTGATTGATACAGGATGAGGATTGAAAAAATTAGAAGACTAATGAAGCGGCCCATCACAAGGAAATGTTTCCCTTCTCATCCCTAACGTAATGTGTGTGAAGTGTGTGTGTTTGTAAAAATGATGGCGGCCTTGTGACAAAGTTCAAATGAAAGGCTTCATTGAGTGCGTAGAGGTGTGTTCGTGTGTGCCAAGAGATTGAATGTTGGGAAAGAGGGACGGAAGTGAGAGTTAGTAAATGCCCTTCTGTATTTCAGGAGCCTGTCCCTCCTCCTGCACCAACATCACCCCTTCAGTATAGCTGCACTAGATTCATGAGGAATAAACTAGCTCACACCATTCATTCCCCATCATAAAATTCAGAGTTTGTGTTTTCATTACCACCTCTTCTCCAGGTGATTGAGGTGAAGTTTGTGAAGCTGGACTTGGAGCCCGACACGTACTGTCGCTACGACTATGTGGCGTTGTTTAATGGTGGAGAAAGGGATAACTCGCGGCGGATTGGGAAGTTCTGTGGAGACAGGGTACCAGGGTGAGATAACTGATATGAAATGGGTGTTGAAAAGTTAAAACATTTTGCTCAAAGTTTCCCATTTTTAAGACTTCCATCTGAGCTCACTCATGCATTTTCTTTCCTTTTCCATAGAATTATAGTGACAAATGGGAATGAACTCCTGGTCCAGTTTGTCTCAGACCTCAGTGTGACCTCAGATGGCTTCATGGCCCACTACTCCAGTGTGCCCCGTGGGTCTCGGTCGCCCACGATAGGAGGAGATTTCATCTATGGACCTCAGACCACCACAATGCCAGAAAAATCAATTTTGAAGCCAAGAAAACCAACCAAACCAACCCCCACCTCTAGACCTACTCCCCAGCCTAAAACTACCCCTAAACCAACCAAAAGACCACTGGTGAAGAAACCAATAAAACCTCCACCAAAAAAACCCATCGTCAAACCCACTCTTAAACCAAAACCAGCCAAACCCACACCCAAAGCACCTGTGAAAAAGCCTGCACCTAAACCTGGAGCTAAACCTACACCCAAATTTAAGGTTATTAAGCCAACAATGAAACCAAGCATCAAGACTAAACCTACACGTAAGCCTATATTGAAGATCAAGCCCACATTAAAACCCAACATCAAACTAGTAAAGCCAACATCTAAGAGTGTAGTTAAACCAACAGCCAAACCAAGGATGAAGCCCAAAGTGACACCTAAACCTGGAGTTAGCAAAACAGTGACAAAGAAGCCTATCGTGAGCAGGAAACGTAAGTGGACAAACTTCCATGTATGTATATTAGAACACCTGTATTATTAAAGATGGTTAAAGTGCTTAACGTGTTTGCATTTGTTGTTGCTTCAGCTTTACCACTGAACCCACTGTGTACACAACCCTGTAAAAGGACGGGAACTCTCCAATCTAGCTTCTGCCCTCATGACTTCGGTGAGCCACATCAGCTGCCATGTAGACTGTACAAATCTCCTCTGCATTTCTTTCTTTCCAAAATGTTATTTAACCCATTTAGTCTTTTGTATTCCTTTTTAGACAGGTTTCCATTCAAATGGTACACATATTTAAACTTAATTTTCCCCAAAATCTGGAAAGAAAATGCATATTTTCATGTTTTTACTCACTGTAATGCAAATATATGGAGTTGGTATATAGAGATAAACAGTAGGTGTATATGAGTCTTGAACCTGGTGCCGTTATACCGTTGAAGAAGTAGTATTGGGAGAAAAGTCTTGAGACAAGATGGTGAAAAACATAAGCAATTTTTTATGAAAACTAGAGGATGGAAATGCACTTTGTGAAATTGAAAATATGTTGATGTTGGTTTTCTGGGCATGGTTCTATTTTTGATAGACTCCATGATTAAATTTTGCAATTCTTAATAATTTAGAGTAGTTTGATGATACATTCTCTTTCTTTCAGTGATTACGGGTAAGGTTACATCTGTGACAGCTGGTCCTGGGGGCTCAGCCATAGTTGAAGTGTTCCTAATCAAGGCTTATAAGCCTGGACGCCTGAACATCACCAAAGCAGGGCCCGTCATGTCCGTCACATGAACTCTACCTGCAAGAGATGCCCTGGGATACTCAAAGGTATGGAAAAACTGTCTGTTTTTACAGACATAACACCTGCCTCTTCGCCTCGCAAACCAATGCAACTATTGAGTCATCAACTTTCAGGTTCATAAAGATGCAACTAAATGATTTTTTTCAGTTTTTTACAATTCAGTTATGGTAAGAGTAAAAACTGTCTTTTTATGCAGATGATGTGATTCTTTATTTTACCAAAATATACAAAGAAAATATTTTAATTGTGCAATTGTTAAATGAATATGCGATGATATGTGATTTTACTGTATTCCTAATGATGTATTGTACTATATAAAATCATAATGAAAGAGGAGTATCATCTTAGATTGACACTTACCATATTGGGGGGGTGAATCAAACTATGAAAAGTCCATCTAGCTCCTCTGGTTTTTCTCATTTTCTGACACACTATTGTTTTTTGTCTCTTTATTCAGGCAAGAACTACGTGTTGATGGGAAAAGTCGACGCACAGGGCAACGGTCTACTCACCCCCTCCAGCTTTACGCTTCTTTATAAGCCCATCCACACCAAAGCACTTCTCAACCTTTCCAAGAAATCGTGCTGACATCACGGCCCAGCAAGCCAATCAGATGGACAGTGAGCCCTCTGAAAATATGTTACTTTAGATTTAAAGTGAAAATATTATCAGTTATTATACAAATGTTATTTTTTGTCATAATGCAAAAGTGTTGTAAGAAATATCTTACAAAGACTAAACGAGGCATTCAATATAATATTTTGTATGTAAATTATAAAACTACGTTATAAAGATGGATCTCAAATACACAATATGATATACATGCTTGAGATTATTTTTAACATTGAATTAAGCCACTTGACTTTACATTTCTATATTCTTCATGAAAGCAGTCAGTTTTAAGGTTAAATCTCTTAAGGCTCTTGACAGAATGGTAATATCCACATGGACATGGACAAGAAATACAGATTAAATGCTCCCCCCATTTTATCTGTGATCCTTGATTGTTTTTCTTTTATTGGAGAGTAAAAAAAATTCACTTGTGCACTGTGGATTAAAAAAATCAACTTTCTGATTTATAAAATGGACCAGTTGTTCCAAGTAATGTGATTTGCAAATGGAATCTTGGCGCAAAAAACCTTTTAAGCATTTAGCAACTTTGAGCTCAATGTTTTGGTTTTACACATCTTAATTATAATCTTCTTAATTAATCTTTTTTTTTTTTTTGCAGTTAACTCTGTAACCCTAACTTCTGAACCCCAAATTCCAACCCCCTAACTCAGCCAAATTTGCGAGCTCCATTAGTACTTGTAGTCATTTGATATTTGATATTTCAAATATCTTTACACACAAGGCTAAAAGGTAATGACAACATTTTTAATTTTTTAATTGTTAAAATGTTGTTAAAAGTTACACATCTGAACAGGGTATACATACAATTTGAATTACTCCTTGGTAGTTTGTGTGTAAATCATGATGGGGGGGGCTTTCATAACAATAAACCCATGTGTGATTTTCGTGTTTGAAGTGATGGGATCTCCTTCAATAAGGCAGGCCTGACTGGCATGAACACACACAGGTGAATACTCTCATGTTTACTGTCATTAAATCCTTTAACAAATCTATAAGTTTGTCAGAGTTTGTTTTCTTTTAATTATCACCAGACAGAAAGCAGCGGCAACAGCTAGATACAAGGAGGAGACCTAAGAGAATATAATTTGCATTGGTGGTCCAGAAGGCAAAAAGGTAGAGGGTCTTGTTGCAGTAGGTGTTTATGGGGGCCGTCTTGTTGTAGTTTGGTTCGTAGATTGAGTAAATCCAAACATTACCTGCCGAAAAAGACCAAAAGACAATTGGTTCTCACAGAAATTAAACACAACGCTTTATAATTGTCACGAACACCTATGAAAAAAATGCTCCCATATAATTGTTTGTTCACTTTCCATATAATTGTAGGGGGCAGTAAACCAGTCAGGAGAATCACCTTTATAATACATTCATGATCTTGCATTAGCTCTGTTTTGGTCTCCTCCAACTCCAGAAGATTTCTGGTACAACTAGCTAAAAGCCTAACTTCCTTTGTTAGAGTTGAGTAGATTTACCTTTTTGAGTTTTTGTTTCAATTCAGGTTACTCATAAAACACACACACACGTATAATCAAGTCATATCCAACCCCTTTGTGCCCAGCCCCTCACATAAGGCAAAGATTGTGCACTGCTTTATGAGCAAAAGTAGATTTGACACATAGATTTGTGTATCTTAAACTGCACCACTGTAAGTGCATTAATTGTGCATTAGTTTGACAAATACTCCAGTGTTTTATCTTACCAGCGATGAACCAGCAGAAGAAGAAGACGGAGACGAGGCAGCTCCAGGTTTTGCTGTGATTCCCGAAGCCGGCAGTGCAGGGAGAGATGGAGAGCACGGCCAGCAGCAGGGTGATGACTCCCGCCACCAACAGGTAGATTGGAATGTAACGCTGGACCGGGCAATCAAACTGGTACTTTGCTCCTACAAGATGCAACAACATTCATTTCTGGGGGGGGGGTTACACTCTTTGATGGTAATTGCCATCACCACCTTTGGTTGGCTTGTGTTTTGAAAGAATAAAATCATACCTATCGCGAGTTCAGCGAAAGGCAGGAGAGATACAATCGCCTTGAAACAAACTGTGGTAAAGACAAAGAGGTACACTGTTAAATGCACCGTGTGGTGAGGTTCGTTTGAAAGTAACAGAAATGTGCATCATTTTCACATATTGCTGTGTCTCACTTAAAATTGGTGCATGAGGTTTGCACCAATCCGCAGGAGGTCTGCGGATGTGTTGAAGACTCTCAGCCATATTCTGCTCAAAAGAGAAGAAACATAATGTGTCTGCTCTGAAGTGCCCCTCATTTGACATGACTCTCTATCCCTTTTTTTCTTTTTTTCCATATCAAACTAATGATGTCGTCAAAGTGTTTGGTTGGATGACTGTTTATTTCTCTCTGGCTCTGTGTACAATTCAAAAAATTAAAACAATTCAATAAATAGTTATTCACAAAAAATTAGCAGTACCGGTAAATGTATTTCATAAGCAAAAATAATTGTTTTGATATAAAAAGGATTTTAGAATAATAAAAAATAGTCACCTACTGTTATAAGCAGCTCCTCAGCGTCTTGTCACTGACGTCTAGAAGGGAAACTAATGTCATATAGCAGCTGAGGGTTAGCGTCACACCAAATGTGGAACCAAAAAAAAAGTGAATTCAATTGTGTGTCTCAACTTCCTATAGCCTATATCGAGCACACACTAACCACTACACCACCGGCACCTCCAATATGCTAACTTTGAACATGTAAGATGTATTGTTCCTTACAAAGAAATACAGTTACTCCTCCATAATGCAACTGAAGAAAGGAGAACACATCCATGGGTATAGTTGTATGGTGTATGTCTATGGTCTCTGATGATGTTTTCACAAAAGCAAAAAAACAAAAACAAAAAACTCGGGGATGAGCTGCATGTGTGAATGCAATTTTTTTCCACCCTGAATTGCCTCAGATTTTACCCTGCCAGCCCTTAAGTTGAGCTTCCATGTGGAGTTTGTGTGAGCTATGTGAACACAGCAGGGATTATTCATCTACATGCAGCACTCATATAAGGTAAAAATGTCATTATGGTGATGAACTCTGATTTCTGTATTCACAGCATCTCTTTTTACGCCTCGTCATCACAACCCTGAGGTTGTCCTGAGTGGTGTGCACATTTTTAGCAATGAAGAGCGCCTTGCTCACTGATAAAGAAGCTGCAGACCCAGAGCTACAATTCTACAATTCACCTAGCAGATGCATTTATCCAAAGCGACGTACATCAGAGAGTAAGTACAACACAAGCAAGGATCTAGAAAAAAGGAAACAAAACTTTGAGTCTGATTGGAGCTACAGGTGCTGACAGGCAGTGCAAAGAGGCAAAGCACAACATTGACGGCAGTTCTTGAGAGCTCTTATCAGTATAGAAACCATCTTAAAAGTCGTCGTTGTCAAACAAAACCATCGTCATTACCATCATCGTTATCAGTAATATCGAGACCATCGTCATCATCATCGTTAAGGTCATAGGTATTCATGAAAGAGCTGGATCTTCATCTTTTTCTTAAAAGTGCAAAGGGACTCTGCAGATCGAATGGAGTTTGGAAGTGTGTGTACACGTTTTTTTGTTACTAATAGGAGCAAATTTGTCTTTCCTCTTTATGAAGAGAGTCATACAGATAAATCCTCATATATTTGTGAATCCTTCTGTGTGCATTATTCTTTGATTGAGACTGATCCAGCTCCTTATAACGTCCCCCTTGTAATTGGCCGGACTATTTATAAAACAGCTGGACTTTCATTTAGACAACTTCCCCTTGTTTCTCTCCATGTGAGGTAGACCTGAGCTCATGACATGAGATTAAACACGTAGTGTGGTCACACTTTTTTCCATCTGCTTTACTTAAAATCATTTTCTGTTTCTACAGAGTTCCCACTCAACATGTTTCACTCTCTCTGTCTGTTTAAGCACTTTAGTCACATGAAAAATGAACAACTCATCTTTTTGTATTGTTTTAGTCAGAGACGGTCTTGTCATTGATTTAACCCTTTGTTGCTCAAATTCTGCCCGCAGGTTAGCTCAGACATACTAATGCAACAAGGAGCAAAATGAAATACACACAGTGGCTATTTTAAGCTGCATGTAAGTGTGAAAAGGGTTTTACAGAGACTTTTGTGGTTTTCTTTTCACTTGTAACAGATGCAGCCAGCACAGTTCATATCATATGAGAAACCAGTTGCAGCTTGTGGTTAGAGTTCTTTGTTCAGTCACAGCAACAGAACAACAACACAGATATTAGTACAAGTAAGCGATGTGAATGCAGTCAGGTTTAGAAGTGCAGCAGGACAGGCACACCAGTTACAGTAGCTGGACTGTAGCACTGACTCAACATATCATAAGAAGCAGACTCCCTGTGTGTTTTTAACTTCAAACAGGATTATTCTCAGTGGCTATTCTACAGTCTATTGGTTAAATTAATTTGGGGGCCCTCCAACCAGCATTTCTCACCACCAGTGTTCCAACGCTTACCCCTCTTCCTTTTTGTTACTCTTTCTTTGGTCTTTGGTTTTCAAAACACCAATGCATGCTATGCTTAGCAGGGCAACGAGAGTGAGTACTGTCAGATGGGGCCCCATTAGCGAGGTTCCTACTGTCATTGGAAAATTTTGAGCCACTGCAATGGTGTAAAGTTTGTCAGCCCTCGAGGCACCCCTACTGGCCCGGGGCCCCAGGCAGTTGCCTGCCTTGCCTGTTGACAATCAGCACCTCTGATTATTCTCTTGTATTTCTTGGATCGTGTATATTTTTCAGTTTTACAGTTCCCATGTTTCCAAGCTAGCAGTTAACCAGAGAATCTGAGAAACATCATTCCCATGTCTATTTGGTAATCCCTTTTTGAGTTTCAGTGGGAAACAACTTCCCTTCTTGCTCTCAATCTGAGTGCAACCTGACACGTCTCATTGAGATAAAACACATTTTGTGGTCAGACTTTATTCTCTGTCCTTTACATACGATAGTTTACTGTTTCTACCCAGTTTCCACACGACACGTTTCCCTCCCCCGTCTCTTTAAATGTATTGAGTCCTACATCATCTTATGCAACTCTCCATTTAATGTCCATGTATGTGTTATTTTAATATTAACTTCATAACTTCAGCAATACAAAGTGACATTAAACAATGTAAAGAGTGAACTAGGAGTGTAGTAACAATCACTATTTAGTACACTTCCTGGTTTCTCCCTTTCTCCCCTCCCCCTTGATTGGCTGTTGTTTGCTCTCTGTCCCTCGTTAGTTAGATTGAATTCACCTGCCGACTGCTTATTTAAGACTGCACTCCCTTACACTAATCTTTTTCATCCTTACATGGGGCGGCCGTTCAGCACTGCACTGATGTTCAAACCATCCCATGTGTGTTTTCTTTTACCCTCGTTATTGAACTGAATTGGACGGAAATAAACCTGTTTACTTGAAAGTCAAGTTTCCTTGTTGGATTCCTGCATCCTGACCCTGTTGCCCATGATGATAGTATCTCAACTTTGAACCCTTCTAGGAGTGACTTCTTGATGCAGTGCAATACAAATGATCATCTAGCAAAGTGCATCATGGGAATACAGCATAGATTTAGGACCCCATTAAAGAAATGAAATGCAGATTTTAAGTATGAAGGGGTAACATTACAAGAATGCTCAGG